TATATATATATATATATATATATATATGTATATAAATATATATATAGATAGATACAGAAAAAGTATGAAGTTATAATATAAACCAACTAAATCTATGTTTTATATAAGACACAATTGTTACATTATGTTTAACATAAAATATAATTATTTTTATGAAATAATAAATCATAATATATTTGAAAAATAAGTTTGTTAAAGATTAAATTATTGACAATATTCTTCATTAACGGAATCGTATTGACATTTGAATTATTACTTAAAAAACTAATTAAGTACGTTTTCATTTATTCACACACAAGATATTTAATAATTAATACACAACACTATGATTATTATTATTATTATTACTGTCCGGTTTTTCTTTTTTGTTGGTTGTATTCTTTTGCTTGTTTGTTTTGTTTGTTAATATTACTGATGAGAGAGAAACATATTCTTTGTTTTTGTTTTTGTTTTTATAGTGCATAATAAACACTCATATAGGAAACATATTTCACACTAAATCATGCACACTATATCATTGTTATTATTATTATTATTATTAGAAAACTGATATAGATGAAAAATGTCCGAACAAAATTGTCGGCTATATAGCAAATGTTGCTGCATTTTGTATACTTTGCGCACGATATATATATATAATTATAAATAATAATATTATTTGTTTCCATGTAAAAGGGACTAGTGCGATAAATCGTTGAAGTCTGATCTACAGGCAGCCATCTTATCTGGCAAAACATTAAAGTATTAGATATTTAATCTATAGTAATGCAAATATAAAATTCTATGCATATATATTTATCATATATATATATATTAGCATAAATTTTATATAAGCATTACTATGGACATATATATATATATACATATGTATGTATAAAGATAAGATTTGCAAAAGATCTTAAATACTTCATTGTTGAGTAAATAAATAAAAAAAATATCAATTTTATTTTCATTTGATTAATTAAATAGAAAATTTTTTTATTCAAAAGATAGCTAAACAGATGAATATATTACATTGTAATAAATAAATAAATTAATAAATTAAATAAATAAATAAATAAATGTAGCAGTTATATTAAGACGGTGAAATAAGTGGTAAAAAAAAAAAAATTGTTTCAACAAAATTGTTTCTCAATTTTTTTTTTTTAACCTCAATATCCCACTGTCATAATAATTAACAGGACATATTAAGTTATATATATATACATTCATACTTAAAAAAAAGTATGTAAGATAAATAATGCAATAGTAGCCTATGAAATTCTTATACAATATAATAAGAAATGTCAATGTATTTTTTTGTTTTTGTTGTTATTATTATTAAATAACTAAACCACACACCAAGAGGATATAGTAGGAATTTTTTCCCAGTTACACTATATATATATATATATATTATATATATATATATATATAATGCAATCATTCATGCGCCATTAATCAGAAAAAGTGTAAAGCGCAATGCAAAAGCACCTCTGACAATAAAAATAGATTATTTTTATTTTCATGATTATATTTTTCTTCATTTTAATTGAAGTAATATTGTATATATTTTATATAAATAATATTTGTTCTATTCTATCTATATATTATTTCTACTGTCAGAATAATACTAAAAACTAAGAGGCATATAAATATTATATATATATATATATATATATATATATATATATATATAAATTATATTATTGAAATTACTTACCTCTACTTTGATTGTAGCCAGCTTGCCAACCTGCATAGTACGCTGCTTTTTGTTTTCCATGTTCTTCTGCTATCTTTACACTGAGTCTTTCAGAACCACCTTCCGGTACAGTACCATGAAGTTGTGCAATAGCTTCTTGTGCCTCTTCACGTTTATCAAATCTTTAATAATAAAATCATATTGTTCATAAATATTTATTATTCAAACATAAGTTTTTATTTAATATCAATGATTTAGATATGTTATTTAAATATTATAAAATGAACATCTTAGTTATTATTTCTCTTATGTAAGGAAATCATTAAATACTAATTCTATATTCAGCTTAACATTCAGTTTAGTGACATACTTTTGATACTATTTTCAACAATAAACCTATTCGACACAACCTGAATTTTCATTTATATATATTTTAATAGTTTAACTAGGTCAGCAATCGTAAAGACATAAAATTGAAATTATAATGTGTGGTCAGGCCAAGAATCGTATAAAAATAATTTGGCAAGAAATATCTTATGTATAGTAAATAAATGTATATTATTATGCGCTAACTTTGATTGCATAATGATACAATTAGTCTCATTTCTAACCAGCTGTTATTCTTGACTATGATCCAACTTATAATAATCGTTAAATTCATACGCACAAATTTTATACGCACTATGATAGAGTTGACGGGTAAATTGTTTTTCATATAAATAAATTCTCATAATAAATAATATTATTAAATGCTATCATTTATAGCGTACAATTTTCAACTAAAAATTAAAAAAAAAAAAAAAAAAAAAAACCCACCTAACAAATGCTACGCCTCTTGGTAAACCGGTAAGTTTGTCCTTTAAAATATTCTTCTGCACGATATTACCAAATTTACTGAATATATCATCTATCTGACTTTCCGTGATATTTCTGTAAAAACAACAAAGAAGAAGAAAATATAAGTATATATTAAAATTAAAGATCAATAAGTTAATATATCATTCTTATGTTATAATCATTGGAACTAACCGATGAGAGAGCATAGTTCATGCATTAAAAATTTACCTAGGTAGATTGGTAACATATAGATTAGTTTCCTTAATTTCTTCACCAGATGGACGAGCAAAAGACACTTTTAACCTCTTGTTTTGTACCTGCAGACCATTTAATGTATTTATTGCTGACAAAGCGTCATCTGCTTTAGTGTAGTTGACAAAACCAAAACCATAACTATAACCGGTCTAAAGAAAAAAAGAGAAAATATTGTAATTAAATTATTGAATTACTCCAAAAATAATGTAGACAAATATATGTCAATGAATAATAGACATACTTTGTAGTCCTTCATTACTCGACATGATTCTACAGGTCCTATCGTGACAAATAAGCTGTAGAGATCCTTCTCCGTCATACTTTGTGGAAGATAATTAATAATTAAATTAGTCCGCGGCTCATCATTGTTTTTCATATGTTGTTGAGATTGCTGCTGCTGCTGCTGTTGTTGTTGCTGCTGCTGCTGCTGTTGCTCTAGCTGATCAGTCATTGTGCGTATATTCCTGGCTCCAGATTCTTCACCTCGTTTCAAAACTCTCCTCAGACTTCACTCTTAGAGCAATATTACCAATTCCAAGTTTCCTGGTTGGGACCGCTGTATACTCCGACTGATTTAGCCCAATGAAACCATCGACGGGGTCAGCAAATACAAAAAATATAAACAAATTCATTACTACGTTTTCCCCGTGCAATGCCATGATCGTTGATCGGTCTGTGCCCTTGAACGTTTTTTTTTTTTTTCACTTTTTTAAGTAATATAAAATAAATAGAAAATAAATGTGCATATTTATGATGGTAGACCTGTGTATGAGAAACAAAAAACAAAGGCAAGTAAGGACCAAAACAGAATTAACTTGAATAAATCAATAAAAAGAAAGAAAGACCCCAAAATATATTTGTATGTTCCTCGCATGAACATGCAAAATTTATGCTAAAACTTTGATTACTGTTAATAATATAGAAAAAACAAAAAGAAACAAAACAACAACTTTATTGTTTCATTACAAGTAGACAGCAGAGATGCTTTTCTATTGATATGCATTGCTTCCTGTTAATTATTTTCATAGAAATTTCAGAATATTTGCATAAAATGTTAGAAAATAATTTGAAACTAGAAATTGGTTGAAACAAATGATGCTAAAAGTATCACTGCAAATTGACTCATTTGTGATTACCATTACACGTGTTAAACATATTTTTTTACATATAGATAATAAATTATATAACTTATAATAAAGAAATAATAATATTTCATAATGTTGAGACAAAAATGTTGAGAAAACTTATAATTGAAGCGCAAATAAGCACGACTGGCACAATACCTTTGGAGTATTATGAAATAAAACTATTATCAAAATCGATATTATTTAACAACAATATTCTCATGTAACATTAACTATTCCTAAACGTGCTATTAAATACGCTAAAGGGAAACTCCCTTGTACCGTTTATAAAGTTCGCTTGAGAGCAAACTTTAGGTACGCTAAAAACATGTAATATATAAATTTTTACTGGAACAAAACAAAAACAAAACTGGATATTTCGAGAAAAGGGTAGAAAATTCGTCTAAGGTAACGCTTAAGATTCTCTGAATTCTCTTCTCATAGATTTGAAATGACACGTCATGTTATTTAGGAGATTGTAGGTTACGGTTGAATAGATATATCATCATAATACAAATTCTTTGTCCCTATATTTGAGGAATCCCGGGAGAAGCGAATAAGCCCGGCGAACTAGTAAGTCGACCAAGCCGATAGAGGGATGACAACAAAGGGAAGAGCCATGAAGAGAGAACAGGAAAACGGTGGAACGGAAGAAATGGAAGGGGACATGGGAAGATGCCAGAACGAAAGAAAGAGCGCGCGCGCTGTAGCGTTCAGAGAAAGAGGAAGAGAGAAAGAGAGAGAGAGAGAGATACCCAACAAAAAATGCAACACAATTCTACACAACAGAGGGAGTATAAGAAATAACGTACAATAATTTTCGCGCCTTAAATACACTAAAAAGTATTACACTAGTCAAATTAAACCGATTAGTCAAAAGTAGCGCACAAAAACACGTATTTATTAAGAAAAGGAAATAACTCGCTTGCGTATAATTATGTAAGCGCCTTTCACTATCGTAGGAACACGCGTTATACATTACCGGTTACCATTTGTAAGAATATACGCTGCGTTTCCTTTCTCGCGCACTTTCGACTATTCACGATCGTAAACGTTACCGTAAACGAAGATAACTTAAATATTGGTAAAAGGATGAAAGAAGAGAGAAGAAATATAAGGAAAACCGTGGAAGCAAATGAAGATGTAATATATACCGTCAGAAACACGTGAAAACTGAAAAAGCCAATTCTTGAACGGAGTCCGGTATATAACGTTGAAGTGTTCGCTTATAAAGACCGCATTTATCCAAGCCCAAGTTGGGCTGACCTACCTCTATGCAATCTAAGAGACCTCTATGAGATCTGACCTGCCCTCTTGCGGTATGTGACAAGTAATTTACTCCTTACTCCAATATAGCGCCAAAGAATATAAAAGTATATAGATGCTCACAAATTCTCTTGTTTCCTAACCAGATGCATCTTAGTTATTACCGGAACCACCAGTGGGCGATAGTACGTAGAATACTGAATTCTTTGATAGTATTGAACTATTCTTTGATAGTATTGTATTGCATCGCGTTATGTATATACTATTGCCAACTGGTGGTCTCGGTAATAACTAAGATGAATCTGACAAGAAAAAAAGTAAACTTTTGAGCTTCTATATACTTCTGTTTTCTTTACAATTGTAAAGTATTGGCGGATGCGTAATCATGTAATAATTTGATCATGCACAAAATCAATCGTGTACCACAGCCATGTTCCATTAAAAAAACTAATTGGAAGGGGGATAAACTATCCCGCCTAAAATTCTCCTAACACTTTTATATATCGTTTGAACCTCTTGCCAATTTTTCAAAGGTTATTGCATACACCAATATCCAAATCTTGCAATAAATAAAATGCAACTGTATGAATCGTTTCCCTAATTTTCTTTTCGTTTCTTTCATTTTTTTCTTTCTTTTTTTCATTATATATAGAAAATTATATAGACCAAAGATAGATATTAAACATTAACATTTGTCGTCAATATTCGTTAATATGCTTTACACGATTTTTGTAGAACAACTTTAATTAATTTTCAATCGTTATACAAATTTGTGTAGAGATTCATTTTGAAACGCGGGGACACAGATGTCTTTTGAATTTTGGCCAATCATCATGAAAGTACAATAAATTTGTAATTTCGATTGGCAAGATATCATATAAAATGACCTTCGTGTTTTAATACCGTTGTTATTTCAGTATAAATCTATATTTAATAAAAGAATTAAAAAAATCAAGGAACATCAATGAGAGAAGATGAAAATGGATATTGACAAATATAATTGAAATTTCTAATTCTTTTATACATTATCAAATATTATAAAATAAGTAACTCCTCAAATTAAAGTCTCAAATTAATACCATCAATGATTTTCATTTTCTTTCTATGCTAAATTATTATTATTATAACTAGTCTAACCAAAAAAAAAAAAAAAACATACCTCGATATTTTATTCCAGGAAAAAGCAATAATTGTTCATTGCAAATAATTGCATCACGTTTTGGTATATTGTTCACCAATATAATAGCTTCCCTTCGTATTCAAACTTTTAACCATTAAATATTTTCGTGGAAAAACGAAGAAACGTGAGGAAGGTAGTATATAGCATATATATATACGTATTTATAATGGATGACGAGTTATTATATTTTTAGTAATTAAATTGATCTTCTTTTGTTTACATGTTACACAAGATTGCTCGAGCAACAACAACTGTGCATATTAAAACAAGAAACCTATTCAGATCGATCGAATATCGATAATTGATATTGCTTTCTCATCTCAAAACTTACTTTAAAATAATATACAGTTAGTAACTGTATATTTATATATTCTTGTTCGATACTTTAAGGTTACTTCTGTAATATTTGAATTCTTAACTAACTGTATTAATTGATTTCGATTATCATCCACATCGTTTTGAAATTGAAAGATGAGATACTTTTTTATGGTCTCCACTCTTTAGATAAATAAACAATTCATTTAAAAATTTGAATTTAACGTAAGCTTACAAGAAATTAATCGAAGATTGTTACATTGAAAAAGGATGTCCCATATCATAAAAATAACTTTATACTTTCATTGGTTTTTCTTGTATATTATTACACTCTAAGCTTACATAGATATAATTAATATATAAAGGGGGAAGTAACATTAAATATTGTAAGGAAAGATTGATTTTTCAAAAATAAAATAATAATCAATCAATTATGAAATTAATAAATCAAGATAATGTTCAAGTAATAATATTGATAATTGTTAAAGGGGATCTGAGAAAATGATATACATATGTGTATGTGTGTGTGTGTGGTGTGTGTAAATATATGCACATATCACGAATCTCCGCATTGCGCTATAACGAACCGACGCTATCGTCCTTCTATACACCTTTATATTCATCAGCTATTCATAGATATCGAATAATAGTGCTTTCGAAAATTTAATCCCGCATATTCTTCTACCACGTGTGTTCTTTCATTTTCAATATTTTTTTCAAAAATAATTGCATCATCCATGTTAACGATTTAATATACATATATATACAAAGAAAAACAATGCTTATTCTTAACTGATTATGTTACAATTCAGAATGAATTATGTTAATTGTTTATGCAACGTTTGGAATCTCTTTAATTGTTAAATATTAAAATGAACAAAAAAAAAAATGAAATTAAAATTGTTTTAATTTAGAAGAAAAAAATTCTATGGCTAACGTTCTCCATCAATTTTTAATACAAAAATGTATCAACATTATTTTTACAAATTTCAATATTCGTTAAAATATTTATATACGTGACCTAATTTTAATTTATTTGTTTATATTATAATAAAACTGATCGATCGATTCCCTTGTTGTTAAATATTATAATTTATAATTGTGTTTATTTCCTTTTTACTTTAAGAATACTTCTTCTAACAGCCGCATTTCCGGATTTCTGGAATTTGTCGGTACTACGTCATCAAAATTACACGTGCACTTTTTGATTTTCGTCAAATAATGCAACGAAATATATTTTTAATCCTTATACATGTGTTTCTTAGAAAAAAAAAGAAAATTTATTTACGTTTCAATAGAATTTTATTTTCAATTATTTATTTAAATGAATCCCTATTGTAATGATAAGTAGTGTGTTCTATATTTATACATAAAAAATTTGTATTTAGTTGCATAGAGTAGTGCTCTCACAAATACAGATTGATTGTGATCTTTTTCCACGTGATTTTATATAAACTGTTATATTATATTACAGTGATTAAATAAATTTGTTTGTTTTTGTTTTGTTTTTCTATAAAATGTAAATAATAATAATAATAATAATAATATGTTGGTGGTGATATTAAAAACAAACGATTAATTATTCTTACCTTTTGAAAATGATATGTCTTTCGAATAATCTAATTTTAAGGAAATTTTGATCAATGTGGTTGGTGGTTGGTATTTTAATTAAACAGATTATAATCTATTATTTCTCTTTTTTTTTTATCTCACATTGCAAGCGTAATCATTATATAAATACATATAAAAAAGTTATAAATATTCATCTAAAATATCTAAGAATGAAATTGATGAGAAGTAAATAATGAACATGTGTTTTTAAATATTATTTAAACAATATTAATTACCATTATATAAAATGATTATTAGCATGATGATAAAATAGATAAATAGCTGCGTCATCATTCATTGGAATGGAAATAAATATAGTGCTTAGTTGTACTAAACGTGCGTTTTTGTTTTTTGTTTTTTTGTTTTTTTGACATATTTCTTTCTTAATGGCAAGAAATTGTTAAAACATGATTGCCCTTTAAAGAAAATAATTCTTTATCTCAGTACAGAAAATCCTCTTGCTCTTACAAAACGGAATGGTCTGCATTGTATTTGACGTGAATGATTTTCTGGTGTTTCTGGTACCGTTGTTACGTCATTCTCTTTATTCCAACCACGTTTAGGAGATTCTATACCAAAAGGACTATATAATTTAGTTGGAGTACGTCCTAATAATTGGCGAGAACGTGACTGAGGTGTTTGCGTTTTATAATTTCCAGGAGATTGTTGTTCTTCCAATCTTTGACGTCTTCGCGTTGAGCTTCGAAATTTCTGTATGATAGGAAATCAATAAAATAAATATATAATAAATATTACAACAAATATATAATTAAATATGCAACTAACCTGTGAAATAGTACCAAACGTTGTTCTAACAGTTGATATGGTTTTGGATAATCTTTCAGCACCATTTCGTAATGCTCGTCTAGAATCAGCAGACACATTTCCAAGACTCAAATTATTCCAACCACGTTCAGTAACATCTTTCTCTTTTGTTGACGAAGTTTTCTGTTTGGAAGACTCATTAGATTTTTCTTTATCAAAACGATCTTGAAGACGTTGTCTAAAGTTTTTAGAAGTACGTATCAATTCTGGTGAATTTCGTACACTTAATACTTCACGATGGAACGTGAACGAGACGCTACGAGAATCAGGACGCATTGCAATGGTATTTTTAAATTATCTTAACCTGACGATATTCTTTTTGTAATCTAATTAAAAATTAGATTGTTTTAATATTAAATCAAAGTATTATTTCACTTATGATTTTATTAACATATGTAGCTGTCACGACGTATAGTTTAAATACCTGCATTATCTCTTTGAAGTGAAGCGTCGTCGGAGCTCGTTGCTAACCGTTGCTACTGACAAAACATCGATAGATGTTGACTATGTATAATATTTATATCTCGATACAACTCTCGCATATCTCGATACTACGAAATAAATCATTTACATTAACCTATATCTTTTTAACTTTGTTTTCAGTTTATATAGTACTTTATATTGACCTACTTTTATTTCTTGATATATTTATTTATTCGATTATTAAATGTATATTTTCATAATTAACAAAATTTCATATTGAATTTCCCGCTTTCTCGAATAATTTATAATCAGTTCTTGTAGATGGCGTTTTTGCATTTCTCTTTCTTTATCATCTCAATAGAGACATTTTCATAGTTATTTACATTTGTGATTGCAATAACAAAATGCATAGAAATTTATAAATATAACGAATATTTAAAAACAACAAAGTGTTAAATTTTATTTTGACTATTTATTTTAGTGATATTAGTAATGTATTGTATTTTTAACTTAAAATTCGGTTCAATACCAAACAACGTAATACGTGTCAGAGTGAATAAAAAGCGGATGAATAATGAACATTTGGAATGGAATTGGAATTTTTAATTAAATAAGAATATTTTGATATTTTTCTTATCATATTAACACGTGAAAAATAACAAAAGTCTGATAAGAGCTGACCAAATAATAAAAAATAAAGTATATAATCTCAAAATGAGTTATAATCAGAAAGTGTCATATTTTTACAATCCGGATGTTGGAAATTTTCATTATGGTCCCGGACACCCAATGAAACCTCATAGACTGTCTGTCATTCATAGTTTAGTTCTTAATTATGGTTTACATAAAAAAATGCAAATATACCGTCCTTATCGTGCAAGCACTCATGACATGTGTCGGTTCCATTCAGACGAATATGTAGAATTCTTACAAAGAGTTACACCTCAAAATTTACAAGGATATACGAAATATCTCAGTCACTTTAATGTAGGAGATGATTGTCCTGTTTTCGAAGGACTATTTGATTTCTGTTCTATGTATACTGGAGCATCTTTGGAAGGTGCCACTAAATTAAATAACAATTGTTGTGACATAGCAATCAATTGGAGTGGAGGTTTGCACCATGCTAAAAAGTTTGAAGCCTCAGGCTTTTGTTACATAAATGATATTGTAATAGCTATTTTAGAATTATTAAAATATCATGCCAGAGTATTATACATAGATATTGACGTTCATCATGGTGATGGTGTTCAAGAAGCATTTTATCTTACTGACAGAGTCATGACAGTTTCCTTTCACAAATATGGAAATCATTTCTTTCCTGGAACAGGAGACATGTATGAGATAGGAGCAGAAAGTGGCAGATATTATTCTGTAAATGTACCATTGAAGGAGGGTATAGACGATACATCTTATGTACAAGTATTTAAACCTGTAATCTCACATGTCATGGAATTCTTTCAACCAACTGCAATTGTATTACAATGTGGTGCGGATTCTTTAGCAAACGATAGACTAGGATGTTTCAGTTTAAGTACTAAAGGTCATGGAGAATGCGTGAAATTTGTCAGAGACTTGCATGTACCTTTACTTACTGTTGGTGGGGGTGGTTATACTCTTCGTAATGTAGCACGTTGTTGGACATATGAAACATCTTTACTTGTTGATGAACAAATCAGCAATGAATTACCTTATACCGAATATTTAGAATACTTTGCACCAGATTTTACATTACATCCCGAAGTTGTTACAAGACAGGATAATGCAAATAGTAAACAATATTTAGAAGCAATAACAAGACATGTTTATGACAATTTAAAAATGATACAACATTCACCAAGTGTTCAAATGCAAGATGTACCATGTGATGCATTACCACCAGAAGAAGAAAGACAACCAGAGCCTGATCCAGATTCTAGACAAAATGCACAAGACACTGATAAAATAATAGAACCAGCTAATGAATATTATTCTGGTGATAAAGATCAAGACAAAATGGATGTGAGTGAAACATGATGAAAAATAAAAGAAATCTGATTTTCTCTGTGATGATGAATGAACAAAAATGACGACAAATTCAATTCTTATGTCTTACAATGAATGTACTATAAAACAAAGTCAATTGTAACAACTGATAAAAAAAAAAAACTACAGATAATAATATACTGTAATATAATTACATATTATCTCATTGTAAATAATTATTTTTTCATTATACAATCTGATACACTTATTTTTTTAATTATCTAACGACTGTACTATAAAAACATTAAATTATATATATATATCTTTTTTTATCCAAACGAATGTTATTTCTTTCAAGTAACAAATAACATTTGATGAAATTAAAATGGAGACAAAAAATATAGTTGTTGTTTTTTTTTTTTGCTTTTTTAAATATCCATATATCAGGCAAGTTTATTGTTTTATATCAGACAGCATATTATCTATATTATTATTACTATTATTATTATTATTATTATAACAACGACGACAAGGACGATATTTAATATTAGCGCTAATGATAAGAACAATAACGATAACGTCTGTATCTCTGTATCGAGGCTATCTTCCTATATCACAGAGAACTTAGCCTTTAATCATTTCTTCTTTTTCTTTTTTTAATCCTATCTCATTCAGTAAAATAGAACATAAACAATCTCTTCTAATAATATGCTGCTTGCTTTGTTTCATAGTGGACTACTAAACATGACTAATGCAATAAATTAGATATCTTAAATTAAGGCGCTTAGTTCTGTACACATCGTTCGTAAATTTACAAAAGTATTTCGAAAAATAATCCAAGTACAAAAATACAGTATGAGGAACGCAAATACTTGACATTTATTATTTGCAAATATGTAAGACTCTACTATGTAAACATGTATTTTCGCATTTGCAATGCATAACGTGTTGCAATGCATATAACATAGTTCTGCCAAGAAGACACTGCAAAGCACAGTTTATATATTTATTATAGAAGGTCGTGAAGTTTGCATTTTTAATTATATATATATATATATTATATATATAATTTTTCCTTTTATATATTTATATATAAAAGGTATTTGTTTTATATACTTTCGTTAGATTTAAATATCCATATTTCTTGGTTTTTAACTATACATAGTATATGTATGCGTACACATGTGTAAATAAGTTTTTCAGTCTCATGATAAAAAGCAATTCCATTTGGTGTGTATGTATAGTCTTCCATCGAATTCTCTGTATGATTTAATAAGATCCTTTCACATAAAGCTATATATACAGTGTAATTAGGCAGTGCTCTAATCCAGCAATAATAAAAAATTCGTATAAAATTGTATCTTGCAGAATTTAGTTGTTGACTAGATGCCGTTGTTCTTGATCACTCAAATAAATGTAAGAGGATTCGATGGAAAAAGATGATGATACAGCTTGATGATGATATCTTTGATAATGACCACGATTACGTTTCAAAATGTTTATAAATACTAGTCACATATGTCATGACTTGTTGCCAATCAGGTCGTTCCAGTTGACACATTTCTCCTATGTTCTGTGAAGAGAAATAAGATTTATAATTATTATTATTATTGTCAGCAATAAATATTCTTAATTTATTCATATTCTTATACATTTCTCCTTTTATCATTTCATTGATTATACAAAACTGATGGATTTTTTATTTCTTTTTTCTTTTTTTTTTTTTTTTCAACTTACCAAAGTAGTTGGTATGCCAACGCTTTCAGCTGCAGAGAATGCGATGGAAAAGTTTTTTCTTTTTTCGGCAGGCGTTAAAGTATCATACGGTACTTTATATGGTAGATAAGAATGAAGAATAGCACAAAGAGCTAAGCCATCATTCCAAGAGCTGCTAAAATTAGTTATATCGATATTTCGATAGCCTAATGTTTTGTTTTGACACCACTTAAGTAATGCATTTCTCTTTGAACCTCCATTCTTGATTAAACCGCATAATGGATCTTTACGTTCTGACAAATCTGCCACACTATTTCGACGAACAAAATCAATAGCCTTGACATTTAGTGCAGCAGAATCCAAAAGTTCACCAGGACTTAAAACCACAGGTACTGCTGATTTTGTTTCTGTTTTAAGGAATTGGAAGATAATATATATGCTTGAGTAAATGTCAATTTATCCAAACTTTATTTGTTACATATATAATGTGAAGCTATTTTTATCTTATGTGTAGTTTGTGTATATATATATATATATAAGCAGTCAAAAGTTGATGAAATTAATAGAATGCAGTGTATAATGATGATTCCGATGAGATAACAATATTTTCTACATTCAAAATTACCAGTAGAAAAAATGACAGGAAATGACAAATATAAATGATGAATAATCAATCAATCAAATCAAATCACCTTTATTTATATGAAAAAGAAAATGTGAATGATAAACATGCAATTATGTGAGATATATTTTAAGCGCTGAAGAAAATGAGATTATGAGTGTTTCTTCTTTTCCTTTTATTTATTTATTTTTTTTTTAAATTAAAGATTATCCCCTTTGTAGCTTAAATTACATATAAATAAAGCCAAATAATACTCAATGAAATTAAAAATTTACAGCTTAAAGGTTCACCTCTTCGAAATTGATTTTACTGATATATATATTAATAATAAAAACAAAAAAAATTGTCTACATATTAAATATCTAAATGCATGAATACTGAAAAATAAATAAAATAATAGGATCTAAAGAAGCATAAATATTAGATATATATATATATATATATAAATAATAGAAGCAGTTTGATGAATTAAAAAAGCAACTTGTGTCCATTATACTTGAAGTTATATGGTAAATTACCTGATAATGGTTTCCTATTAATAGCCGTCTGTGTTTTATTATTATTTGGTGAATTTGATGTACAAATTAAATTATTTATCTGTTGTTGATCTCTTAAGGGAGATTTCAGTGTCATTATATCATTTGTTCCAATGGAATTCAAAGATGACGTTGAACTGCTGCGGCTTCCAGGTCCTAATATACAAAATAGATGAAAATAAACAATGTATATATTAGAATAATAGAGTAATAATGAAAGAACAAATAAAGCATACCAGCTTTAGCTTGTTTTGTTGCATTTTCAATACTTTCTATTAAACATTTAACAGATAATCTGGAATCTTGGCGCGAAATATTAGCCTTTCGTACACTTGTTAATACACACTGTTGTGTAGTTTCTGTTGGTGTACTTGCTGGCCTTGATGATGGTGGTGGTGGTGGCTGTTGTACAACTTTTTGATTTGCTGAAAAATCGACCCGATCTATTCAAAAATATTTCCCAATTATAACATTTTTTTTTTTTTTGTATTTTCAAATTTTAATTCAACAAAAACAAAAAGCAACAAGCAAAACAAATAATATGTATGAAATAAAAGCGCAAATAATAGGAAAACAAAATTGTTTGTGAGTGAGAAAGAAATAAATAAATGAATGTACATTATTATAATAAATCCCAAAAGACACCTAAAAGAATTTCATTTTTAAAGGAATACTTAATAACATAAAGCAAATAAGTTTAAAAAAAGAAAAAAAACCACAAGAAGCTAACAACAATAAGTGGATCAAGAAGGATTAAACATGTATGTAGTCATTTGAAAACCTATAAACACATTTGGGGCTAGCATATAATAAAGATATGAAATTTTCTGTATTCATGGCTAGCTTATAATAAACGAAGGACAAACAATGGGGTCGAGTTTTGCAGTACAAGCAATCAATCATTGTTCCACACTATAGTAGCGACTTACGGTCGCAAGTTTTTCCTATTAGTGAACGTCGACCAGCTCTCAGTTCCACATCTTCAATGATAGTCTCAAATTTGTCTCTCAAGGATGATGTACGACCTATCATTCGATCCTTGCTTAGCAAGGAAAAATTACTATCATTTTGTGATACATCTGGTACAATACTCGTACTATAATTGCCACCGTTTGTTGTTGATGATGTTTTTCTAACATGACTGTTACTACTAACTTGTATCTTTTTATCTTCTATTATATCGTAATCCGTTTGTAAATTCATTCGTAAAAATTTTAAACGTTTCAAACGATTAGCTTCGCATAGAGCTAAATATCTGTCACTTTGTAAATCATTGTTGTATTTGGATATATCTTTAAATGATTTCTTTAACATTCTAGTAGGAGAATATTGTTCGGATGTTTGATGAGTGTTGTCTCTTAAAGTATAAGATGAATTTCTACTTGATGTGTATGATGATGGTGTCATTGAATGCATCGTCGTATTGCAAATAGAAGATATAGGAATATGTTTCATAGATGATACAGCAGATGGATAAGAATTACGTTTTTCTAAATAATTATGTTTTGGATATTGAAAAGATTTCGATTTGTTAAATTCATACATTGATTTTCCTGTACTCTTTCTTCGACAATTCAAAGAATCTACATTTTTGAATTGATCTTTTTCTAAATGAAATTTAGTTGAAATATTATTTGAACTGTAATTGTTATCTTTATTCTTGCTGGTAATCGTAGTTGTTTGAAATTTTGTTTCAATATTCCTTTGTCTGTAAATTGATGCATGTGTATTATTCGTATCATACGTTGAACGATAATCAGATTTTACAGGAGATTTGTCACTACTATCATTGGTAGAAATATTATTTTGTTTTTCATCGTTTAGATTAGATTGATTTTCCTTGGTATTTTCTACTTTATTTTCTGTTTTATTTTTCACTTCGTAATCAATTATTGGAAGAGATTCGTAACTTCTATGAGTCTGTATATTGTCAACATTGTTATGAGTTATTTTATAGATATCAAGATTATCTAATGAATTAGAAAAATTCTTATGTCGCAAATAATTGTTCCGATTCAATTTTGGTCTATATTGTATATTATCCAAAAGTGAATCAACTATTTCGCTACTAGGTTTAGATTCAAATTTTTTTAAAAATAATCGTTTCTTTTTATCAGTCAAATTAACAATTTCTTCCATTGAATTATTTTCTTTCGTAAGTTCATACGACGAGTTGTTTTCTTTATTATCCAACGTAAGAATATCTTTGGTAACAGTTTCTTCACATATCATCGATGAATCTTTCGTAGAAGATTTTTCACAAGAAATTATTTCTGAGATTGCATTTGAATCAGTTTCATTGTTAAGTATTTTCTTTGTAGTACTATTTTGCAATAATTTGCTCATCTCAGGATCAACTTCAAATTTGAGATCATCCATTGAAGTATCAATGTCGGAATATACATAATTTTTCGGTACGAAAAATTGACTGTTAGAAATATTAATGCCATATGAATTTTGATCATTAGTTTGAATTCCTTTAATACTATTTAATAGAGAGCTTTTAGAAGTTATATTTTTATACATGCTAAGTGATCTAGGAATATAAAGTTTACGATGATTATTCTCATTTTCTAAAGTCTTTTCTATATCCATATTCGTACTATTATTTATCTCCGAATATAGTTCTTCTCTCTCCTGTATATTTATAGGTTTTTTAGTAGATAATTTTTCATTAATATTTTCTTCCTTCGTTGAATCTACATTCTTACTTTCGAGTACACTTAGTCCAGTATTTCTATCAGGACTTTTAGTTTTGATGGGAGAAGCTGGACAAAATTCAATCTCTTTACCAGACATTAATTTTTCGTCAACATTAATAACTTCTTTGACAGAACACGGACTGCCTAAATCTGTTTCATCTTTACGTAACTTTGTAATATTTTCATCCTTTGTTGTTGCATCGATAGGAGTAAGTTCGATATGTTTATTTATTAACTTGTATGAATTATCTTTGATGATTTTTTGAACAAAATTATTAGGTGGCATGTGTCTTCTTATCTCGTAAGGACGTTTTGTAATGGTACGTCCACGTTTCAATATTATACTAGTCGGTTTTCGTTTACTTCTGCTAGTAGTATCAAATATTTTATTGTTGGACACTGTGGTATTGCCTAATAGTGTGTAGACATTAAAAAAAAAAAAAAGAAAAAAAAAAGAGAGAAGAAGCAATAAATTAATAACACATCATTTATATAACTTCTGATTATATAAAGGAATAAAATAATTTTGTCCTTGTAAGAATTATCGTTTAGTGAATATATATCCAAATCCAATTTGAGGAGAGAATAATTTTACATCTTACATTGAAATACTTATATTTGTTGAAGAATTAAAAGGTACTAATCTTACCTTTATTGAGTTTATCTAGTTGAGCCTCTAATGATCTTAATTTATCTCTTTGCGTTTTGTTTTCCAGTACCACACGTTCTAATTCACTTTGGGCCTCAGTTTTGAAGTCATTAGCAACTCTAACTGTCATAAGTAAATCCGTCTGGAATTGTTCCCACTCAGCACTTTCTTCTTGTCTCAATTTACGTTCCTCAGCTAAAGCACGTTCCAACTCGTACTGATGAGTCTGTGCCTCGCGTTCTCTTCTTTGTGCTTCACTAAGAGCAGCCTTCAATTCTCTTTTATCTTCTAGATGTCGTTGACATTGTGTTTGTAATTCTGCTAAAGAGTCTCTTACTAATTGTAATTCTGTACTAACAGAAAGTCGTTCATCTTTTAATTGATTTAATCTATATTCCAAGTCGTCAATAGCTGATTTAGCATTATTTCGAGCAACCTGTAAATTTTATATTTACGATATATATATATATATATATATATATATTATTCATATTGTATTATTTATTAAAGCTAATATTTATACAATACTAAAATCAAATCATACCTTGTATTCTTCTTGAAGCTGAGAATATTGATCCCTAAGACGATCATGATCACAATGTGAACGTGCTAGTTGTTCTTGCAAAGCTGCTGCTTGTGTTTCTAATGTATCCTTTTCACGTCTAGCAGCATCTAATAATTCGTCAGCTTCACTTTTATTCTCTACTTGTCTTGATTGCTCTAATTCTTCTATCTTAGCTCTGGCATTATCCAACAAGGTAGCTAATCTGCTTATTTCTATGCTTCTGTTTGCACCCTCTTGACGTGCTTCTGCTAATTCTACATCTAATTGTTTACGTTCTATATTGACTGTTTCTATAGTTGATTCAAGCAAATTGACACATTTTCTTAATCTCTCAGCTTCAGTGGCATTCGCGTCGGCAGTTGTTCTTAAATTTTTCAATTCTGATGTTAATTCTTCTTGTTTTTGAAGCAAAGCCTCTCGTTCTTCTTGAGCACTCTAACATATAAAAAAAATACAATGATAACATATTGATAAATGATTAATTTTATGATTGTATACATTGATTATGATGTATGTATATTTACTTTTAACAAGTCGACTAATTTTTGTTCCCTTTCTGTGTTATAACCCTTAGAAGATTCTTGAGGTTGTTCTTCTCTTAACAAAAGTCCTTGTAATGTATCAACTTTAGATCTTGAATCTTCAAGTTTTTCTGTTTGTCGACATAATGATTCCAAAAGAACACCCTTTTCTTCTGTTAATCTTTCATTATCAGCTTGTAACTCGGTCAATTGAGCCTATAAACAAATGAACAACGTTTAATATACTGTTTCATCAATGAAATATCATTTTGAAAATGACTGATTATACAACATACCTGTAAATCGCTCAATTCTTGAATAGTTGCCTGTAGCTCTTCATTAGTTGAATAATGCGTTTCTTCCATTTGTAGTATTCTGTCTTGAAGACAAGCCACTGAAACTTCTGATATAGAGCTAGAGGAATGTTTATCCCAATCCGGAGTCGTGCATTGCGCATTATCTTGTGATATATTTGCATTTGGCGTACAGCTATCATCTTGAGGTATAGCAATCGAAGCTGGTGCAGAATTATGAAGCCTTGATGCATCTAATAGCAACTGTTGCTTCTCTGAATCAGATAACGGAGAATGAGCTACATTCCTAAGACGGGCGCGAAGAGCTTCATTCTCTTCTGTAAGACGATCTAACTCCAGACTATGCTGCTCCTGTAAATCAACACATATTCATGTTAAACAAAAGATGAATATTTCTATTAAATATTGTAACAATTTGTAATAAGTTTGTACATCTTTATTTGGAATTTATACAAAACATTGTGGATTTAATTGAAACCATTAGTAAAAGGAAATCACTAATAACATTCAAACAAAATACTGATTGTTGATAGTAATGTTTTGATTGAAAATCATTATAAAAATGGATTCAAATGAAGAGTAAATAAATAGGAATGTTCATTTAATTTCTTATAATAATAGTAAGGATAACTGTCAATCTTGCAGGTTAGGTTCCATGCATTATAATATATCTTCTTCTTCCTGAATGTTGATCGATTAGATAATCAATGAAAGATGGAAAGCATGTTAATGTATAATTGAAAATGATTGTTTATATTACCGACGGTGCGGAAAAGCAACGTTTTTTCATATCGTTCTCCGTGATACTCGTTTAGAAACTTTTTCACTACGTAAACATCCCCGCATTTTACGCCCTCTGCTTGCTTGTCTTCTATTAAGCCCACTTTCTCACTATCCGTTATTTCAACGGACCGTTAAAACTATCGTGGTGGTATCCGTTGGGAATAAAAATGTGCGAAAGTTTACACACGCAATTCTAAGAGATTCCTCAATGGTTAATCGTATTGCATTAAACAACTGATTTCAAAATTGTATTGTTAATTAAATCTACTTAATGTAACTTTGTTTGCAATGAAGTTTCATTCATTCATTATTTTTAAATGTCGGCCAAATTTCAAAAAGTTAGGGTGGGAGATGGTTAAATATGTAAAATGAACAATATTTGAATATGTTAAACGTTAGAGTCACCCTAATAAAATCATTTTCAATCTTATGATATAATTTATTGATTTTTGTAGTGACCCAATAAGACAGAGTCTTCAGAAACTTTTATAGACCAAGACCTACTTTTGAAAAGAGTCATTTTTTGAGACTCATGCTTCAGGAATTTCAATAATAAATATTTAAGCGCCAGGGGCTGCGTCAGGGTTGCGTCAGGGTTACTTTTACAAGATTAGTTCGTTCTGGTCATATTCCAATTATATTTTGACACATCACCGTGTCATACAGAAATATCTTGGATATTTGAAACTTTGGTCCATTCTATAATTAAGTATTCTACAAAATTCTCAAATTTATGTGACTTATATTTACGGATAATAATAACGTTTTTTATAACGTATTTATTTCGCATTTTTCATTGATTATTAATATGCAGATCGATCCTATCATTTGTAATGATGTAACAACATTTTAATCTTATACATTCAACTCGTGATCTTTAACGATCAGGTATACGTATATATCTGGGTACACCTTGTATGTTTTCCTTGTAAGGTCGGCGACGTTATGCAAGGGGAGGGGAGTACGAGGAAGGAAAATAAGAGGAAGGAGAAACGAAGACCACGTGAGGAAATTTCGTGATCCACGTGATCATCATATATCTATGGTCAGGAGACTTTAAAAAATATCCTAATTTTATTCCAATTGAAACTTCAAACCTAGATCATTAATTACTTCCAAATGAATAATCTTTTAAATATGAGATATAAGAGAAATTTCTTTTACCTTGAGAGAGTCGAGTTCAATTATGAGCTCGCGTAGAGATTGAGCGTCATTAGATGCTTCTGTTAATTCAGCCTCAAGCCGGGCACGATCCTTTCGTAAGACCTCGATCTCCCGTTCCAGCTCCTGCATCCTGGACCCCTTAGCGGGTCCTTTGTGATGCTGTTGCTGGTTCTTTGCGTTGCTTTTGGGAACTTCTTTACCGATTGAACTCCAGTTTTCTGTCGATAAATTCTCAGTTTTTGTTTCAAGCGAGGAGGCGCTCGGGGCCTGACGCAGGGGGACCTGTTGCTGTTGTGGTTGTTGTTGTTGTTGTGTGCCCTGCGTTGATTGCTGCTGCTGCTGCTGCTGTTGCTGCTGCTGCTGCTGTTGTTGCTGCTGCTGCTGCTGGCTTTGCTGTCCTCTGCGAAACAGCGATTTGAACTTCATCATGGTCGACTACTATATGCGCTCTCGATTCTCAAGTTCTTTTTCGAAAAATGAAGACACATTATTTTCAACGACCCTGAGAGAGGACCTTTGTTGTTCCCCCCTCCCCTACACTCCCCCACTCCTTTCAAGTAAGGATGACGCACAGGGGCCTGAAATATTTACAGGTTCTTTACACTTTTACTTTTCACGCTTAATACGTTTTCTTTATTGTTCCTATTGTTTCTTTCCGCGTAAAGCACGGTGTTTTGTGATCACTTGTTGATTCTTGGTCAAACAACTGACCTGGCCGATGATGATGTAGATAACCACTCAAGGATAATATTAAATAATTTTTGATGGGAATGCAATCTCAACGTTAATATCATCGCTAAAGATGGAATGTTTTTCTTTTTTTGTTGTTATTGTTGTTGTCGAGATGTTACCGAGTGACACGAATTGTTCTCGAGGTTTAGATTGTTATTTTTTTAAATATGGAAAAATAGAGTGTGGGTTATTATAATGATGGTAACAACCCAGTAGTCGTGGTCGACACGATCACAGACGACGTTACACGAGGCTGAGGATCGCCTCTCGCATCGCGTGCCACGAGCCAAGAGAAGAATTCGAAGATTCGTGCTCAAGGCACGACCTCGAGCCACTTTTTTTTCCCAAAGAGAAAGATACTTTTCAACAGTTTTATATAGATATATATATATGTGTGTTCTATATTATTGTCTATTTATTTATCGTCCTTGTAAAACCCACACTATTCACTATTTAGACAAATGTTCACAGGACAATGACTATTTTTAAAAGGTCCATGGTCGGTCGTTGCATTGCCCTGTCGTCATCGACAACGAGTACCACTTGTTGCACGCGTAACAACAGCCTCGCGATCCACCGAACGTCTCCGCGATAGTTCCAAGTGAATGCAAACGCATTCTCAAACACCTTTCTTTCTATCTATGAATATCTAATCTAACGCAAAACAAAATCATCCTTTCGATTGGTGAGAGAGTCTCTTCGTATGAGAATTAGGATGATTGAAAAAAAAAAAAAAGAAACTATAATTAACAAAGTTCTTCACTTCTTTCTCTCCTTTTTACAGATTTACTTATCCGTATTTAATCGGAGACTGTTTTTACCTCTCAGAAAGAGAACAACAACAAAAAAAGAATCGCGTGATGCAAGAAGACAGAATAAGGAAAAAAAATGAACGGAAAAGATTACAACAGACACACACCGATCGACGGTGCATCGGGCACTGAGCAGAACTCAGCGGCCCTGCCCCCACCATTGCTTTCTTTATCCCTACCCGGTGTTATATACCATCAGAGTGGGCTCGTTTCTACGGACCCGAGCGGGGCCGAAGGGCCACGGACTTGAAAAATGGGCTCGGTGCTCTCTTCTTGCCTATCGCACGAAAGGGATCTTTCTCTGTCTTTTTTTTATTATTTATTTATTTCTTCTTCTTCTTCTTCTTCTTTGACTCGATAACGATTCGTCCAGGAAGAAATGTCAACGATCTCTAGGTTTGTTTTTTATTTTCTCTCTTTGGTCATCTTGATTATTTCAAATAATCCTTATCATTTGTATTAGCTGGGGAACATGAAATGATAACGCATCGTAATGCAAGATGATAAAAGCTCGTTGAGATAAGGAAAAATCTTTCTCGAGGATATAACCCTGCTGGTTAGTACTCGTCAGGTACACCGGATTTGATTGGAAAGCGTTCGGAATTGCCTTTACGGGAAATGCATTCTCCACGAATAAACTGAACAAGTTGAGTTGAGTCGAATCGTGTCGTGTCGTGTCGTGTTGGATTCTGGTTTTTATTACAAGAGAGAGAGAGAGAGAGAGAGAGAGAGAGAGAGAGAGAGAGAGAGAGAGCGTGCTCCTGTCCTTTAGATCTTTCTCCGATAAAATGATTTTATTCGTTCGACAAAAATACTGTGCCTGTTAAATTATTCGAGCTTCGTAGAGAGCCTTGTCGTTGTCACCTACTTTTTTGAGTGAGATTCGAGTTTGCAAACGTTGCTGCTTATTTCATTGATAAATGTGGATTATTTTCATCTTGAAATTTAGATAATTTATCAATTGTACTCTTCTCTGTCATGATTATCTATTAAATTTATTGAAATGATCTAAACTATGTTTTAAACGATACCAAGTACCCAATTTTTTGACTCACATCAGACGATTACACGATCGTCGATGTCGATCCAATCCTCTCTTGATCTTCGAGGGTGGGAGTTAATTGGCCCGAATTGGTGGGGTAAAGATGATTCGCGTTGGGAACGGGTACGTATATACTTACATGTATATATATATATATATATAAAAGTATATAAATTGTACGTGAGGATAGTTTGGTGTTCCGGAACGAAGGGAAAGGGAAGCAGAAACAGCAGCTTAAAGGAGGCCACGGAATCCGCAGACGTCTTACCGTCGACCAGTTTTCTCATACGGTCGACATATGGCATATACATGCTATCTATCTATGTATGTATGTATATGTATGTATGTATGAACGGCAATGCTGTCCCGAAAAGAACTTCAAGATGCGTTGGCTTTCGAACGAACACGATGACGATGCGAAATGAGTTTCAGACCTGAATTAGCTTCGCTTTTCTTCTGGTGCGTGCATTTTAAATTCTATGCTTTCCCGTTTAAATATTTTTCAAGAAACAAAGATACCATCTGTACACATATACATATACTAACTAACACCCTAAGTTTACCCTCATTTCAAATTAAACCCTTTGGAGAGGTAGGATCTACTATAATCTTATGTGTAAGTATGTGTTATATTGTGAATATAGGATATTGTATTTACGGTGAACTCTCTTTCTTTTTCTTTTCTTTCTATTGGTCTGTCTGTCTGTCTCTCTTTCTCTTTCTACGGTCACGTAGAAACGCAGGTAGAAATTGCACGTGCAAACGCCAAACCTGTCCAGAGTCGTAGGAACTGGTAAAGCTGTCTTATGAGTTTTTCTGTCGAACTCGCCGGAAATACGACACTTCAACGATGGCGAATGCAAGGCCCGCCATTATTATCGTCCTGTTGCTACTCGTCATCAAAGATACGTGTTTAGATAAACAATAAATCCATATAGGATTATATATATGTATATCTATCTATGTATTATACTATATATCAACGACGTATGTATATATATATATATATATTAAGTATAGGTGATATTACGTACATGCAAACACGTATATGGTATATCAGTCGTGTGGTAAGTCTATTCGACACCGCAAAAAAATGTGTCAACGTTAGACGTGCATAAAAGCGAGTCGTCCATTCGCAAGATTCGCTATGAAACGATCTCCTCGATGCGAATGGTGTCAACTTTCCTCTTACGTCCAAGACTCCTTCTTCTTCTTCTTCTTGTTTCTTTTTTTTAATTATTTATTTTCTATTCGAGATACTTCATCAAAATGAAATTATTTAAACTAATGACAGACGGAGTGGTGGGGAATGATGAGTTCACATATATCGATGAGACAAATAATAAAAAAGGGAAAATATTCAAGGAAATGTTGTTATCGTATTCTGATTCAGAGATTCTCTATTGACAATTCTCTTATCATTCCTCTTCGTTTAAATCGTTGCATTGATATATACAATAATCATTATTATTTATATCTTCATTGATAGTCAACGTGCTGTGCGTCATACAAATATCTTCGTGACCGATTGATTGTACGATTGTACGGTGCAGGTGGTACATTTTAAAACGAAACCTTCTTGTTAAATCACATTCCTTTGTTTTCAAGAATTATAGTAGTAATTGGAGAATTATTTCCTTTTTCAAATGTTTTTTTTTTTGTTAAATGAAAAATTCTAATGAGAAACGTTGACTATAATTTTGGTTTTGATTTTACAGACGTGATTTTTTTCTACAACGTATATAACAAAATGAATGAGACCATAGTGAAAACATCAGATGATCTTTTTGATTACTTTCAGATGTGTGTACGTATTATACGAGAAAGAAAATAAAATAATGTTCTTCTTCTCTGTTTTACTCAATCCTTATCTTCTCCCTTGAAAAATATTTTTGCTCTTTGGTTTATGTATATTATTCCTTCTATGTAAAAAAGAATTTGAAAAAAGAATATTTACGTTAAATGTGATAATTCGATATGAATCATCGTATTATAAATAATCGTTCGAACAAAAATTATTAGATTTATCAATATAACCGCCGCATGTATATTATTTATCAAGTTTATTTTTAGGAAAAATAATCTCACGTAGAATTACATGGAGAATTTTTTCCCATAGGAATAAAATAATCATTTCATTGTTTTCTATCTGCAGTATTTCCATTGCAAGAAGGGAATATAACCACCACCTTATCTTCTCGAAAGAAAGAAAGAAAAAAAACATGGAATAGAAAAGGTAAACAGATATCGTTTTTTTTTTTTTTATCGCGATCGTATAAAAAAAAAACGTTTCAAATTTATACCAATGATGACGTAATTTTTTGTCAATAAAAAAGGTAGGTAATTCGTATTTTACTGATAAGAAATAATATCTCGAGTGAAAAAGTAAGCATCCAAAATTCGCATTTTTATCATTTGATATTATTTTATGATAAATACTTTTGTCTTTTTTTTTTTTTTTTTTTACAAATATCACCAATAGAATTCAATACAAGTGTGATGGTAGATATTTCAAAGAAAACGAAGATAATGGCCTCATGGTGCTTACTTTGCGAATGATATTTAGCAAGGAAGGAATATAAGTATGCTTAGAAACTAAGTTGGTGGATATAAATAGGCGTTTTGTAGGTAGCACGTGTGTAAACATTAAAATTGTCCTCTTCTTCTTCTTCTTCTACTTCTTCTACTTCTTCTTCATATTTAAGTTCTTTTTTTTTTCTCTTTTTTTTTTTTCTGTCAGTAGGAAAATAGCCGAGTTTTTGGTTCTACTTGCGAAACCTTTTTCGGTTCTTCTATAAAAAAAAATTACTCTAAATCACGCAATTTTCAGTTAAAAATATGAAACATTTAAGCAATCCAACTAATGGTGAACAGATCTGACAATAATATATTGAATTGTTCGAAAAGTAATTTCATTTTTTCCTGACACAATAAATGCATGAATTGATGCAAAGTGGCAAATAACAACACGTGAAATCGTTAAAAGTTTAAATTTATCAAATTCAACTATTTATGCCAACTTGAAAGGTCTAGGTTTAATTTTGAAACAAAAATTGTCTTCTTCATTTTTACAAAAGAAAATATGCTAAGTTAGAAAAAATCATGTGAAATCAAATAAATTTCATGAAAATAAGTTGAGTAGTTTCGAAATTATTACTGGACAAACATATTGTGACACACTGAATTTATATATATATAGAATTTTATTAATTAATTAATTAATTAATTAATTAATATATAGAATTAAATTATATATTGAATTTTATTAATTATTTTTGTTTCATCGGTTTCACACGGTTTCTTTCGTTTCACGGTTTCTTCCGTTTGACAATTTTCAAATCACCCTGATTCTAAAGAAGTTTTAACTTCAAAAAAAACAAAAAATATTTTTAGAAATTACGTATCAAGTGAAAAAGAAAAAAAACTTTAAAGAGAGAATCTTTATCATCGTAAAATGAAAGAGCGTGTTTCAAGAGTGGTCACGTTTCACATAAACACAGTTGGGAGGATATTAAAATGCATAAACGTTTCATTTTTCGTTGATAATTCAAGTTGAACTTCTAGGAGAAATGACAAGCGATAACACGAAGATCAAATTCAACGAAGCTACATTTTTTCTCTCTGTCTCTCTCTCTCTCTCTCTCTTTCTCTGTGTGTGTGTGTATGTTCTTTATTTCTCTTTCTGTTTTATTTGGGGTAGAGGGGAAGAGACTCGTTTCTTTCCTCTCGACAAGAGAAGTCAATTGCCCTTGCCCTTTTTTCTTCTTTGAGAACCTTTCCTCTTACAATTAGAGAGAACTTTGTCAGCGTGCGGAGAGTTCAACGTTATAGTTGACGAGCATTTAACCATGACGAACGTTTGGTTTCTCCGTTGACGCTCTATTAACTTTAGAGTAGTGTTGAAATAAGGAAGCACACAGTCCAGAAATGTCTTCACATTGTGAAACGCAAGAAGAAAAACAAAAAGATGACAACTCTGATACGATAAATGTGTGTGTTTGTGTGTGTTGTTATAAAAAATTATCGATACTTTATTTTTTTCTATTTCGATTTTCCTAATAGATATAAGAAAAATATTATCGAGATATTCTCTTAAATGGAACACAGAACTTATAATAAATAATAATTCTATTATTCAATTTCGAAATATTGAGCAACAAATAACACCTTTTCGACAATAATAACCACATCATTATTAACAATAACAATAATAATTTCAATTTATAATTTTATTATTCATTAATTAAATAATGATATGTTATACTTGTAGAGGTATGCTAATCAAATAGAAAAATAAAAAGAAACGAAACGAAAAATAGACATGCATATAAATAAGAAATTTAGTACGTAACACACATGTATGATTTATAATAATCGTTCATTATTAATTATGTAGATTTTTCCGTTATAGGAAGGTGAGACGTGTCTGTATATATAAATGGAAAATTAGGCACATAATATATGCATGATGGGATGATAGTAATCGTTAGTTATTGCTTATGTACTTTATGAATTTGATTTTTATCCCATTAGGAAAATGAGAGTTCTATCTACCGGTTTAGAATACAGTGCTCATTGACTTTTGATTCACTGGGTATGTAGGTCGTTCGCATCGTCCAAGTGGCACTCTTATTGTTAGAGTGGGTCGTCGTGGGTCTGTCGAGTATGGTGGCCACTTAAAACTCTACTCTCTTGTTGTGTTTTAAAGAAACGTCATGGTCGACTTAACGTACTCCCTTTTATTTCCTTGTGCAAACTGAATAAAAGGATTAGATTTAACTGAGTAATGAGAGAAGAAGTGGACGTTATTGAACCAATGGGAGTAACGACGATTAACCAATGATCACAAATTAGCTGCTATTATTTTCTATTAAATTGATACGTGATTTCTTTCATTAAACCAACAACATTTATTTATTTTCAAAGAAAACCAAGCTTCGAGATAGACGTGAATATATCGAAACAATTGAATTGTAATACAGTGCCATCTATTGAAAGAACCTTACAGAACCTAGATAATCTCTCTAAATAAAAATCTTTCAATTAGTAATAAAAAATTGTGCTATGTGCTAAGTTGGAAAAATACACGCGTGAAATCAAATAAATTTCATGAAAATAAGTTGAAGTAATTTCGAAATTATTAGTGGACAAACATATTGTGATACTCAATTTTTATATTTAGAATTTTATTAATTAATTAATTAAATAATATAGAATTAAATTATAAAATTGAATTTAATTAATTAATTAATTATTTTGGTTTCATCGGTTTCACGGTTTCTTCCGTTTCACGTTCCTTTCGTTTGACGATTTTCAACTCACACCCCGATTCTAAAGAAATTTTCACATTAAAAATGAACAATAAATTGATTAATTTTCTATATAGTTAAATAAACGCATGCATTCGTAACCGACTTGAGAAACAAGCACGCAGAAATGAACGTTTAGAATATTCCATCGGCGTCTCTGGTGAATTTACTAGAAGAGAGGTGTGGGATGCTTGTGGAATGCGATTCCTTAGGATTTCATCAGACGCTTGACTCTTTTTTTTCCATCTTTTTTTTTTCCATCTTTTTTTTTCTTTTTCCTTCGGTAGGCTCTTACGAACGTCGTCGAAAGATATTTACAGCCTCCGCAGCCGCCGCTTGCTTTCATCGTGTGCTCGTTTTCTCCCGAAGAAATCGCGAAATTCAACTATTCTTATATCTTTATATACTGTATGTATGTATTGTACATATATTGTGTGTACATACACCCTCGAAATACGATGAACGGCTTTGATTCTGTTAGGGGAGTTCTTGTTCCACGAATGCAGTAAGAAAGAAAGAAAGAAAGAAAGAAAGAAAAAGAGAGACTACGAGAGAGAGATCGAAACCTGTTCGTGTCTCGAGCAACAGACAGTTTCTTTCATCCCTCTGTTACTTCAGTTATCATCATTGCTACTTTTTCTCGCCCACCCCCCACCCCAACCCACCTCCCGAGTAGTGACTGGAGTCAAACGATGCATCTTTACTAACTTTCAGAGATACTTATCACTGTGTTGTTGCTTTGTATCTTCTTCACTCGTATTCATCTAACGTATGAAAAGGTTCGATGTTGAACATTGAACTTGACAGACTTGTCAAGTATGATTTGACTTATCGAATTTTTCATTTACATTATAAAAACGTCAACCCTATAAAATTATTTAGGAACATTACTACTATCCCACTGGTTTTACTATTATTTTTAGTATCACTCCAAAAGAGTAGAAGAACATTTGACGAAGATAGATACAAGGAAGTAAAATATGATTGGTTGAAAAAAAAAAAAAAGCAAATAAAAATCTCTTAGATCTTAGATGATAGAATGGATATAGATCGTATTATCGATCTCGTATTGAACAGTGTTCAGAGAAGTAGTTAGAGGAGAAAAGGGTACCCAGAGAGCATCGTTGGTTCAAGCTGCGTCTTGCAGGAGACGGTCGGGGGATATACTACGTTTAATACCGTTTATATACACTGTGTGCCATCGAGAAATCGTGGGGAAAGGAGTCAGCATGCGAGTACGAGGTCAGTGAACTCACGCAAAGCGCCGATGAACATACTTGAACGAGTACGAGTACGAGTACGAGTACGAATACGCGCGCGAGTAGTTACTCGTACACCCAACCTTTTCTAGTTTTCTTTTTACCATGTCCTCTCTTTATTTCTCTTTTTTATTTCGAACAAAACACCAAGCAGTATCGCCCATATCGAATAAATTTATCATATGTTTATGCATTATGTAAATATAATATATTACATTTATATTTATTGAAATTAATTTGAACCCTTTGAACTCGTACGTAACATCGGAAAGAGATGATCGAAATAATTCATGAATCGTTCGTTGAATATTTTGTATAAAATAAAAAATAATGAATATTTGATAGTTACGTGTAAAAAAAAAAAAAAAAAGCAAGAACATTGGTTAAGTTCAAAAGGTGCAATGAGATATTTCTAAATTTTCAAATGAATGGCGTCAAATTTAAATACCCAATTTACCTTCTTGACAACACGTTCTCTGTTTCATCGTGTAATTGTTAATGAATAATTAATAATATAAGTCATTTAAATTCATTCGAAAAAGGAGGAGGAGGGGGCGGGGGGGGCAGGAGGAGAAGGGAAACAACTCACTTTAACAGTTCAACCGATTTCGTCCTCGGCGACTTTTGAGGAGTCTTCGTCGTCGTCCTCGTCGTAGTCGTTGTAGTTGTCGTTGTCTTCGTCGGTGTTCGTTCGACTTTTCTCCCAGGCGGCCTTTTCGCGCTGAAAAGCAACGACACCGCGTCCTTTCTTCCTTTTCCAACTCCAGACGGCGGCGGCCTTGGCTCGAGCTTCGACCTGAAATTCAGAATAGAATCTTAAACTCGTGCTACTCTATTTCTTTCTCTGTCTCTCACTCTCTTACTCACTCCCTTCCCTTCCCTTTTCTGCCCTTCCATTCCCTTTTTCATACTTTTTTTATTTTATTTTATTTTTCTTTATTTACTTCTTTTCGTGCGAAAGTGGAACGCCAACCGACGACGCCGAGATGAACGCCAGCCTTGTTAAAACCCACACGCAAGAAGAAAACGTATCTTTCTATATATATATATATATAATTCGTGTGTTTTTTTTTAACTTTTACATTTATTTCTAAACGTATATTTCGTTAGATCTGTCAAAACATTTTAATCAGATATTTTTCAATGTTAATTTATTTCTGTTCTTTCGAATTATGTCTCAATAAACAACAAAATGAATAAAATGAATAGAGGACAGAAGATAGTCGACGGATTTCAAAATTGATATTTTTAGATGTCATTTTCTAACGTTGATTGGAGTTCTTTTTATTCTAATTATGATATTTCGTAAATGTGTTTAAAACGGTAAGACGGTTAAACTCTCATTTTCATTTTATGCATAAAACGCGGAATCTTTAAAGAAGGATCTCATTCATCGAAAGGAAGTGGAACAAACGTGCGATGGGGTTATCCTACGCAACATGCTGTTACGCGTTCGTCTAACGAACGATTATGTAAGATTGCAAGACGTGTAGGACGTAGGTGCATGATTTAACACGTTCTCCTGTGAACAATAAAAGATGCTTTGTGTTTTTTAACATTTGCTGTTGTTTCACGAGAAGAAACTTATTTTATTATAATATGTTTATCAAACTAATCTTTGAATAAGTAAAGGCATTTATTTAGAAAAGTTGCAATACTGTATTTCCCAAACTATTGTTTTACAAAAAAAAAAAAAAAAATAAATAAATAAATTTGTTACATCATCCTACTGTACATTATTTTAAATAATATGAACACATGGTATGAATCAATCGAAATTAATTTATGCGTGCAAAGTGTCTATTTGTTTTATAGATGAGTTACGTAATAGTAAAAGTGGTGGATGTATTTGAAAAATGAATATATGGCAAATAATGAAGCCGTTGAAACGTCGACACTGTAAATTACGATTACATAACTGGATCATAAATCTTGTTCCTTGGAAACGTTCTATTTCAAATGGGATTCATAAATTTTCAAACTTTATCAAATCTTTCAAAATGTCTATTTGGTTCTACGAACTTGTTAGAGCTACCGTCAAATCGATAAGCCGAGTGTAGTTGCAAGAGAGTCTTTCAAATCATAAATTTAGAATATCTCTTTGTACACTGTGTATATACATACTACTAAAATGTTAAAACAATTCAACTAATCATATAGATAACAAAACTAGGTCTTACAAAGGTAAAGTTAATTATAAATGTACAGGGTGAGTAAACTCAAAGTTTTCTAAGTGATTTATTCAAATGAAATTATTTGTGTCGAAATTTCATAGACTTCTAATTTAACTATCTGAATAATAAAATAAACATACGATGAATGATTGATTTTGAAATGACTTATGAACTTTGTGCGTATTCTTTTATCTTTTAAGTTAATTTCAAAAGATGTATAAATAAAGTAATATCCTGGGAGATTAAATTAGAAAAGTTCATTGAACCTTAATCGATTTGTCGAGTAACAATAAGTATTTTAAGATTGACTGTATATATTTTACATAATTTTTCATAAAATATAATAATGTCATCATCCATTTTATCGTATTTAAAACTTACAATAAGATAAGAAAAACGCATTATAAAATATCGATTGATCTATTTATACTTGTGGTAACTATAATGATTATCATCAGTTTGATTTTCATATGAAATAGATATAAGAAGAAGAAAAAAAATGCATTAGTCCTTTTGACATTAATAAATAATACAAACAAAGTTCACTAACAAGATTCAATTTCCGTGTGATCCAGGCTTTTAACTAGGTGATAATAAAAGACTCATTTGGAGATGAACGATCTTCTTTCAAGTCTAACACGCGGTTTCGTCGAGTAGAAGAAAAGTTTGAAGAAGAAGAGAGAGTAGAAAAGAGGAGAATGAGAAGGTAAAAGAGAGAAAGAAAGAGACTCGATTCGACGAGTTTAGCGTATCGACCACTAGTTTAGTATACGTTGAGGAACGACGAGTTGATGAGGTCAGTTCGATCGCTGACCGCTGGTCAATGACCTCGTCTCCTCTCTCTCTCTCTCTCTCTCTTCGTCTATCTTTTTTTTTCTTATTTTTATTTTGTATTTTTTTTATTTATTTATTTCTTTGACACGTTGACTGGTGCTCTACTTTTCAAAATTGATCATCAGCAACACATTCTTTTTTTTTCTTTTTCTTTTTCTTTTGTAGACAGTGAATTTATATCAGATCTTTTTAAAACCAAATGATATTCTAATCTGCTTGTAAAATAAAAAAAGAGAGAATGAAGGAGGATTATTAATTATTAATCGTTTTTTTATAGTATCGTTAAATATATGAATCTTATGTAATACCAAGTCCATTGGAAATATTCCTCTTTCATATTTTATTACGTTTATTATCATCGTCAGCATGTCGTTGAAGTCTCCGAGAGAATTGGTTTTTACGAGAGTACACTGTCAACTACTCTTCTCGGTTATAACGATTTAATTATAACAATTATGACTCGTGGTCCCCTGTTTCTCAGCTAGTCGTTCGTCCTTGTCTGACGCTCGTTGGTGAACGTAATAGTGTCGTAAGCCGTGACGTCACTTATCTCCGTCTCTCGTAACCGAGTTTAATTTATCACTCGATATATATATATATATATATATATATATATATATATATGTATACCTATACATATGTTTATAGATGTATGGTATACAGTCATCATAGGACAGTCGTGAAATACACCGCGTTCACGTGTTATTACATTTTACCTGTTTATGTTTTCATTTTTATCGATTATATCAAAATATATAGGAGCGTGACTTTTAACAAAATAAAATAAATAATAAATAAAAAAAAATTCAAGGGGACACCCGGGTTTGAACCGGGGACCTCTCGATCTGCAGTCGAATGCTCTACCACTGAGCTATATCCCCACTTGAAAGATTCGTGCTGCGAACGGTACATATGCGACAACTGCATATATGTATATTATATTATATTATTGTGTAACACTTTTACATTATAATTAGGGTCAAGAAAAAGGGTTAGAAACTACATTATTCAAATGATATTATTATTCTTTCTATTTGGAAGAAAACTTTAGTTAGTTAGGAGCATGCTCGACAAGTTTTATCGTTAGTTAAAGAAAATGTATTTATATTATGTATAAAATCTTATTGTTATCTGGTGTTTATAACAAGGGTTGTAAAAATTACATTTCAAATTTACCCGCCTGCGCAGAATATGTTGAGCACGCACAAGCGGCAAAGACAATTTTTCTGTCTCACTTCATCGCTTACCTTTCCACTAACAAGAACTAGTAATATAGTAATCTTATATATATATAGGAACAACCAACAAGTTTAGTCTTATTTAACGTTTCTTATCTATGTAATATTTCCTAACAACATGTTACTTTGCGTGAAACCTGTTAAATGATTATAATATATCATTCAGTTAAAAAACTGTAGTATATATAATGTTACCAACTTTGAATATGAATGTAGTAACGAAGCTTGTATTTTCGAGTTATCTCGAATAGTGAAAGATAATCGATACTCGATACTCGATTGGAACACAATCGATCGTACTACAAGCTTGATCGTTTAAACGTCTAACGGCCTTCTTGGTATAGACAGATGCACCAATGCACGTCGAAGGTAGATAACGGAATTTCCGGAAAAGTAATGGCGCGACCGGTTTCCCGACACGTGACAGACAGGACGAGCTACTCCATGACGATTACGGTAACGAGCTTGCCTTGAATTTTTCTATTTCTATGCAAGTATAAGAACATTTAACACCATTTAATGCGAATTTAATTATCCTTTAGATTTAATTCTCCTATTTTATATGTTTCAATAAATATATTATTCGATGAATAAATTTAAATATCGTTAATCGATATATTTTTGTTTCACGCGTTTATATATGCATATATATGTGCATATAATATAGAGGAGACATGTTATTTTTATACTTTAATGTAATTTCAAATAAGGTAAGTTGTTTTTGACCTATAAGAAAGCATTGTATTTAATAATGCTTAACTCTTATTGGTTGCATTTAAATGCATCTTCGATGATGCACTTTATTTGTCAAAAATATATGGTTTCAAACTTTAAGGATATACTGGCGCCCTCTGAGAGGATTATGAATTAAGTACTTCGAGACAGGTCGATAAAACAGATTCTCACGTGAAAACTCAATTGTTCATTTTGTTTTGGATGGAAATAAAAATTGTTGATAATTTGTTTATACACTTTTAGAATTAAAATTAGTAAAAGAAGAATAAGACTTACTTATTCTTGGTCGAATTATTAATGGTCGATGTCGTGGTTCCGGTTGTACGTTTAATGGGAGCCCGCCCTCCCGAACCCACGGACATTCCGCTTCGAGCCTGAAATAGATATTAATATTTATTTAACAAACAAAAAGTAGTTGTTAAAATTATTTCATAGATTGATAAATTATAAATCAAGAATATAATCTACAAAACAATGAATACATTTGTAAAATAAAAATGATAGTAGTAGTAGTCGTTATACATTAGAGACGTATTACGTATAACTTTGTCATAGATGATATCAGCTTGTGTAATTATTTCCGCACATTGTAGGAAATGATTAATCGTTAGAAGATAAAAAAAAAAAAAAATACCTTTGGAAACATGATGATTTTCTAATGACGAGAACGTGCGGTGGGGAAAAAAGTGTGAGATCAATTAACGTTCTTCTACATGTTTTTTTATTCTTATTCTAGTTTAAAGTCGTCACACATTTAATAAAAATAAAACTGTATATGAAAGAAAAACAAAAGGAAAAACAACAGGAAGGAAACACATAAAAAAAAAAAAAAAAAGAAAAAGATAACGAAGGTTAGATCAAAATTTTTCTTGTTGTTTAATAAAACAAAAAAAAAAAAAAAAAAAAGAAAAAGATAACGAAGGTTAGATCAAAATTTTTCTTGTTGTTTAATAAAACAAATGTCGGATTTCTCTCAGATTTCTTTCTTTCTTTCTTATGTAAAACTTTTGATTTCTCCGTAGTACACGCAAATCCTCGCGTATCTTGTTAAGAGCATGAACGTGAACACGCTAATGTTCTCAGCACGCACGAATGATTCTAAACCGAGATTATGCGAAATACAAAATGCACGAGAGCCTGTTGGAAGCGTCGAGTTGCAAACGTAATTATATGAAAACGAAACGAAGGACGACGATGGATGAAAAAAAAATGACAAAAGAAGGGACCATGTATTGGGAATAACAATCAAATGAACAACAAATCAAACAAAAATTGCAAAGATAATCGATATTTTTTTGTTACTGTTATCGATAATCTTATTGGTGTATCGGATATAACGATTTGTCATTTGTTTATACAGAAATAAGTGCATGGGTTGCTAAAAAGGAATTATTACCGTGTTTCCACCTAAAACTTCCCAAAATTGTTTCAACATATCTTCTTCGATATTGATTAAAATCCTTTGATAAATCCTTGATATCTCGCTTAATGAGATAAAGAGAAATGCATGAATCGTATTTGATAGTAGAGCGATTAGAAATTCTAATCTCATTTATTTTACATATGCACCTTCTTATACCGACGATCAAAGTTGTTTGTTTTGATACATTTTTTAAATTGAAAAATAATATTTCTACAGATTGTAATTCGTTTGATCGAAAATTCTTTACACATCGTTTTTATTTCACTTATTATTCTCGATGATAAAATGATCGCGAAAACACAGTTCGTTTAATTTCACGTATGCGAGATTTTAGAAAATTGCAATGAATGCACAGTTTCACCAATTTCGCGCTACACTTTCTGAGCATACATACGTTACTTAGAAAACGTACATATGTGAACACAGACTGATTTGAACTGAAAAGATAAGAATTAAGTTCCTAGCGATAAGAAAGGAAATATCTTGAGATATACGCGCTTAAACGCAAGTAGTGTGGGCAACATATGTTATACAGACACATAGAAATGCATTCGACCGACCATTGAGTTAGTTGTACGTCAACGGTTAGTAGAGTGGAACGTAAATGGTATTTTATTTCGGTAAAAGATACTATAAATAATAATCTAACTACCACATATATATAAATACAATAGATATAGTTTAAAAAAAAAAAGAAATTAATTTATCGCGTGTTAAATGTTTCCATAATAATTCGATATCTCAAAGAATTGAAATTTCGCGGCAGAAAGTTTCGCGCGCGAATATTTGAAATTCAAATACGCGTTTGATTTTCAAGATGTCCTATTTTTCATCCCCGTTGATCTATGATGACACGTTGAAGAGAAGTGGGGGAGGGGGGTAAAAACATAATAGCAATTTTTGCAAGGTCTAATACTTAAAGCGAAAGGGGCAACCGATCGGAAGGCGGCGTCCGTACGCGTCGTACACGCGTCGTGTGTACCTGCGAAGGTTCATCGAACCTTCTGCTGCCACGCATACGAGTTCTTGGCCAATAATAAAGATGCACGCCCGGTACGTAACTACGCTTCTTACATACTTACATACGTTTATATGTAAGTAAAGTGTACAAACTTGTGTGTGGACGTGTTTTTCTATTTGACTGTGAGGAAACAAAATAATTCGAGAAGGGTTTACATGATTTTATTTCGAGACTAATCAAATATTTTTTAAAAGAGAACAAAGTATTGCAAAGGAAAACTTAATGGAAAAAGAACAAAAAAAAAAAAACTGCATCTTCTTCGTTTATATACAATAAATATTGTTGTACCAAATTTTCTCACGTATAATCGCGAATACACCGTGACTTTTTTTATTCCCACATGGGAATATAGTGAAAATTGTTTTATTTAATTAATTTCCACGATGAAAGAATCACACGCTCTTGACAATCGAAGAATCGAAGATTACTTTGAACTAGATTTTTCATCGATATTTGAATTTCGCGCGGTTCTCGATGATGACAATCAAATCGAAACGAAAGAAAATTGGTTATACGGTCGATCCCCGACTCTACATATGTACAATATGTAATAGTAAGTGCACAGTAGTAGTCAGAAATAGTGCAAACTCATATTATGTTATATTGACCCTCTGTGCTACTATATTATAGACATTATTATTATCTGATCAATTCGAGAGATACATAAATTATGTCGAGTATTTTAACAATTAATTGCTTCAGTCTTTTCCTTTCAAAACTTCTTATGGTAATCTTTCGTATTTAGATTGTGAAATTGAAAGCCTAGAAACTTGTATATAATTTATAATAAAATATTACAGTCTGATAAGTGACTGAAAAAAAAAAAATACTTCGTACATTAACATTGCAATTAAAAATAATGAATTTTGAGAAAGTTCAAGTGAAAGAATGGAATTTTTAGAATACATCACAAATTTACTAATTAACGAATCATCAAAATGTTGATAAAGAATGGAAGAAACAAAAAAAAAAAAAACAAAAAAAAAAGTAGATTCGTCTAGAAATAAATGAGTTATATCTGGGTATAGGGTGTGGCCGACTATATGGACTCTTTGAACGGGGCCTTTTCCTACGACCTACGCTTCTTGTCGCGTGGCCGGCAGAAAGATCGACAGCAGAAACCGGCCCACACGCGATCCTGGTCGTTCTATCTTCGATAGTGATCGCATTCGCTCGAACGCCCTCGAAATTGGCAACAGGTGTACATATTTATATACGTACCACATAAATAAATAAGTATGTATGTATGTATGTATATGTATATGTGTGCCATAGAAGAAGGTGATTACGTCCGAAAAGCATTTCACCTTTTTCTGCAGCTTTTCTCGCGCCAATCGAACCGTACCATAACGCGTTAAACTCGCGAGTTCTACACAGAAGAAGTTCATCGAACTCTCACGTACCGTTGCCGGTTTCTATATCGTATCGTTCCTCTTCGTTCATTTTTTTTTTTTCTCATAAAACGCTTCAATGTTCCTTTCTTTTCTTTTTGCCCCTGTTTTTTTTTCTCAATGTTTCTTCTTTTTTTTTTTTTTTTTTAATTTAAACTCGATTTTATTATTTGATTTTTATCGTACGAACGAACAATCCTCGTTCCGCCATTCTTGTGATAACTTAAGCGCCATTAAGGCGCGCGAAAATTTTGAACAAATTAAACAACCATTTGAATACATGCATATACATGCATATATATATTTATTAATTACTTTAATTATGTTAATTTCATCGAGATAATCAATATATATCGACTTTTATATACTGTACAATCTTCGAACGTATGATAATTAATTTCTCTTTTCTTTCGTTTGATTCTACAAGTGGTGGAAGAGGAAAAAAAATAATCAACGATCGCACCTGTACATAGGTATCCTGTTTTCTTCACTGGTAATCCTTTCAGCAATGACGTTGACTCGATAAAAAAAGCAAAAAAAAAAAAGAAATGTTAGGCGGGGGTGTCCCGTTGTAATAAAGGGACGGTTAACACGCGGACGTCGCGACGTCCTTTTGGACGATGATGATAGGAATATTGTCGACGCGTGCGATTCGGCAGTTCAATGCGAACTGACTACCTTCGTTTCATGCCATGCCATTCCATTCCTTGCTATTCCATACACCGTCTCGTTTCACGAGTGAACTCTCTCCCTCCTGTTCTTGATCCTTTGCTTTCTCTCTTTCTCTTTCTCTCTCTCTCTCTCTTTCACTCTATAACTAACTCTTTTACTCTCTTTCTCTCTTCACAGATCGCTCTCACCATCATAGTCGTCGTCGTCGTAGTCGTAGTCGTCGTCGTTATGCTAGCTACACTCTTGCAATCTCCTTTACGATTATTAGTTTCATTAGGACATCGATAGGTTGTTTCAAACTTGTCCGCCATTTTTCAAACACTTTGGCAACTTCCGTCAATTCCCACGACCGGTTGATTCAAATCACCTCTGGTATCATCTCATTCTCGAATAATTAAGTTGATCAACTTTATATTTGTTGTTCAAATTCATTATTAAAGTGTAAGATCAATTCTCATTTACACGTCCTGAGAAATTCAAATTGCAATTGGTATCACCTCGTTCTCGTATAACTGTGTGTAATCGATCGATAATTTTCAAATTCATTTGATCAATTTGATCATAATAATCAATAGATCGATCATTTGCATTCGTGGAAAATTCAAAAAAAAAAAAGAAAAAAACATGATATAACAAACGTCTGGCCGAAAATGCTTTAGGTTGTTTCTCTCGTCTGTATAAGAACGCTTCTGTATACGGTCACGGATAGCGTATGCACGATTCATAATACACTCGATACGCTTGCGTAACACGCGTACAAGCTATAATATGCCTGATCCGGTTGCATACCGTAATGCGTCGTACAGGAGATTCATCCAAATCTACTGTCGATAGTCAATTCTCACGAGTTTTTAATAATTAATACGTAACATACGTTACTATCATGTAACAGATATACTCACACGTATTAAATAAACATGTGTATATAAATTGGTAAAATAAGAAAACAATTTTCAGATTTAATCCAAAGTTTTATGTATTCACTCGAACGTGGCGGCATTTATAATGCATTCTGAAACGTGTCCATTAGATCTACGTGTTTTGTTTGAAATAAACAAATCGTGGGTGGCACGTTGACTTCATAAAGCTAATTATACGTATAAATGTAAAGAAAAAGAAAAATCAATCATTTTATACAATCTAACATAAGACCAAAAAAAAAAATCTATCATTAAACGAAGAATTTACAGTAATAAATAATTTTCTAATTGCGAATAAAATAACAATTTTCAATCTATTTTCATTAGATATGATTTAATTGATCTATTTCCATGTTGAAAATGTTAAACTACATAGTAGTTTCTATCAGCTGTAAATCCAATGTAACGGATTATCATTATTATTATTATTATTATTATTATTAGTCGTGAATGGACGTTTGTTACGACCTTGCTCTCGGTAAAGTAGGTGACCCTCCAACTTAATCACCACTAATTTCATTAGTGCGAATCGGATGAGGGGGTGGTAGTGTGGAGATTAGCGATGAGGGAAGAAGGGGAGAAAGGGGGGAAGGAAACCCCGTGATTCTTGCGGAGGAAGAAGGAACATTGCTTGGTGCTCTTGTTGCGCTCCAAATACCTCTCTCGATTCTTTCTACCCACCTGCCGTGATTCTATCTCTTGTCATCCCACGTAGATTTGGTCGTGGAAAGCGACTAACTATAGGCCCTTCTCGGGAATCCATTTTCCACATTTTGTCAAGTCCTTCTTCTGAATTTTTTTTTTTTTTTTTAAATCATCGATTGATATTATTACACTTAATATCGAGAGAGATCCACTGTTTCAATTTGTCTTAATGATACCTGCAAAATATAAGTAATATCAAAGAAATTATTCGATGATTCTTTTGGTTACTTCAATTTGTCATTTTTGAATTTCCCGCTTGAACGAATCATCCTATCGGATTATGATTTCTTTTTCTATAAGAGTATTTTAAATTTTGCATACGCTAATTATATCATAATTGAGAATAAAAAGGATATCAAATTATTGAGATTATTTGACGTGATAATAAATAAAATATATGTATATGGTTTATTTTTATTTAATTTGAAATAAATCGATAAATTTAATTACCAAACATAAAAAGTTGTTACATATAGAACAACAACGTGAAATAGAAATATTTATTTGATTAGATCAATTATATTTGATATTTGATACTAATATAAATAAAAAGATGTCTTAATTTATGTAAAAGAACTTTCGGCAAAATTTGTTTGAATGATCAAAGTGAAAATTTCGTTAATGTAAGCGCGTGTTATGTATGTACCTGCTTACACGAACTCCGTCCATCCAAATGCAAAGGAGAAAAAAAAACGATGTTGTTACTTACGAAGATTCTTACAGCATACTACCCGATGAGCCACCTTGCTAACGTACTTGATCATCGTAAGAGACCGACAAGTGTTTCAGCGCGAAGATGAGTGGGGTGATTGCTAACGGGTTGGGAAAAACTTTCATTCATTTTAACGACTGTCAGCTCCATCTGTACACTACAACTTTATGATTTATCGATCGGTTTCGTCGGTAAAATCTTTCAAATTAAAATATTCATTGAATGTTTCTTTTTTTTATATTAAATAATTACTTAATTTATTCATAATTCTTCTAAATGAATTGCACCTATATGATATTTTCCTTATAAAATTATTTACGTCTAGAAAATAGCGTCAAATTTGACTACATTTGATTAAAATATAATTTAACAACAATTATTTATTTATTTATAATTAAAATTTCAAATAATTTGTTGTAATATTCATTATAACAAAGTTGAATAATGAGAAAATAATTTGAGATACATTTTTGAATTGTTCGAAAATAAGCGCGTAATGACGACCAATAGGAATCATGCATAGATGGCAGCACTATACGTGTTCTATAAAGAACATCACTAGTTGGTAAACGGGGATATTGCAGTTCGATAGTATTTTAATTATAATTATTTTTTTAAAGTAATACATAAAAAAAGACATGTGGTCAGTTCGTCCTCATTCCTTAGATCTTAGAAATTAGTTGTTAATTTAGAATAATATTAAATGTAAGTGATATTTTTTTTAAGTATACCTACAAATCATAGTGATTTGTATTACTTGTGTTATAGGTTATATTGATAAAAATGATTACAGGTAAGAGTGCATTACATGTCATTTTTTAAAATACCATAATTCAGATTGATATCAATATTATCTATGATATTTAATTAATTTAATACCAAAAAAACCATTTTATAAGATGTATCAATGTGTATTACAATTTGTAAATTAGATTTATAATATCAACTTTCTATAATGATACCTCTTGTCAAATGTTTGGTTATAGGTTATATTTATAAGAATAATTACAGGTAAGAATGTATTACTTGTCATTTTTTAAAATACTATAATTCAGATTGATATCAATATTACCTATGATATTTAATTAATTTAATACCAAAAAAAAACCATTTTATAGGATGTATCAATGTGTATTACAATTTGTAAATTAGATTTATAATATCAACTTTCTATAATGATACCTCTTGTCAAATGTTTTAATTTTTAACACAAATAAAGAACAATTTTGGACTAACAAAAAATGTTAAAAAACAATAGACATAAGTTAATGCATATGAACTATGTAACAATGTATTTTAGTGGTTAAAAAAATCAATAAGTTATGTTAAAGTGACAGTATTGATAGTATCAAAAATTTGTATTGGTTCCATCACTATTTTCATGTATGTTTTTTTAGAATCTATGATATATCTTGTGCTCGTGGCACTTTTATGGGGTGTAACAAATCCTTTAATAAAAAAAGGTGCTAGTGGTTTAGAAAATGTCAAAGCAAACACCAGCTATGGTCAATTTTTTAAAGAAGTTTATTTTCTTTTTACCAATGCAAAGGTTACTGTTTTTTTTTCTCTCTTTTATATTCTATATGCAGTATTGATAGCAATTTTTGATTTTAATTAATTTTTAATCTTTATTAGTATATGACACCATTCCTGTTCAATCAAATTGGTTCTTTACTGTATTACTTCGCATTGCAAGGTGCTGATATATCGTTGGCAGTTCCTGTATCTAATTCTCTTACCTTTGTGATTACTGCCATAACAGGTTGGATCTTAGGAGAGAAGAGAGCAGAGAAAAGTAGGACATTTGAATATTTATTAATTTCATTATTTCATGAAGAATTTGATGAATTTTGCGATATCATGTTTCAGACACATATATTGGAATGATATTGATATTAACAGGAACAACTTTATGTTGTTGGGATAAAATGTATTTGATAGAATAATTTTCTTCAATATAAGAATGCATGATATGTTTTGATTGATGGAGATGCAATATCTGAGAGATGACAAACTAGATTTGATTTTCTATCTTTTTATGAGCAAAACTTATCCAGTTAGTTAACATTTATGTAATAAACAAATTTATATGAAGAGAACATCTGTTAGAATCTTATCGAACTAACAGAGATAATCATGACTCTTTGTTAATAAACAAATAATATTGCGATTATAAACTATCCTATCTTTCAAGTTGAATGAAACTGCACACAGTGTGCAAAATTTTGATTAAAATCGGTTCAGTAGTTTAGGAATCCATTGCTAACTAACAACGTGACGTAACGTAATTTCTATATATATTAAGATTATTATTATACTATCGTGATTGATAAAACACTTGTTCTTTTATGTGATATCATTTTGAAATCTTTTGAAATTATGTTCGTTTATTTCAAATTGTTATTCATGTTACAAAATATAACTTGTCACCAGAGTCCTAACGTCTCCGTACATATTTAATATTAATTTTTTTTCTTACACTTGTTGCGTGAATGTAACTAATAACTAAATGTTAATGGACAATACAAATTTTTATCAGTAAACCAATACAGACCATCCATATATCCATGATATTATTTACATGCAAGTCCTTAATGATTCATATGTACATACACATATAATTAGCACCAAATAGAAATGAAACTTATGGTGCGGATGACTATTCTTTTTTTTTTTTTTTTGTCACTAATTTAATCGATCTCTCTTTTTATTTTTTATTTTTAACAGCATAACGGTGTATCACAGTACAGCAGAAAGAAAATTGTTCTATGCTTATTTGTTTTTACTCTGTTGTGTCATATTTAATGTCGAGACAATGTAAATGTAAGAATAAAAAAAAAAAAAGAAAAAGAAGGAGGAGGATTCTTTCGTGTAACAAATTATATTTCCATCTCAGGTGAATATCATAGCCGTTAATTTGATGATCGTGATCATTTAGTGACAAATGGATGTTCGTATAGGAAAAAAATCTATTAGATTAAAATAGTATAACAATTGTAAACGATAAGGATTAATATTACAAGTATATACATGAAAAAAAGCGTGTGAGAGAGAGAAGAAAGAAAGAAAGAAAGAAAAAATAAAGAAAAGAAAAGATAAAGGGTTGAAGAAAATGTTGTTTACATTAGTCCTATGAACAAAAGTAATTTTCTTTACTCGTTGTTAATTTTTTTGTGTTTTTTTTTTTGTTTAAGTAAGTACGTGTTTGTTGCCTTTTATACTTTTTCTTTTTTACAACGCGACTCGTGAAATGATTGGTTTATTCGTATATTTAAATGTTCTTCTTCTTCTTTTTGTTTTTTTTTTTTGTCATATCGTAAATCGTATTTTTATTCTTTTTAATTCATTTTAAAGAATACGATAGACGATGTATTTGAGATATAGATCAATTATTATAGAGAACAAAATTTTCGATTTATATTTAAAAAAGTATAAAAGATCTATGTGCAAATGTAAAAAAATGGCACTCGCATTCACGGTAATATAAAATTGTGTATTTTCTTTTTTTTTTTTTCTTTTTCTTTTTTTTTAACCCTTTGACTGCTGCTAAAGGCGTATATATACGCTCTCACAAATCCATCAATATACACGAAAGGTGTAAATATAAGCCCTCTGTATTTCTTTTTTACTATAACACCTTTATTGCTGTATTACCGATTTAATTTAACATGAAATTTATTGTGATTTGTAACATAGCAATTAAATATTGGCTAATTATTTTCAATGTCGTTTAATTAATTGCTTTTATATTTGAAATGTCGTCTATTTTATAATTTTATTATCTTTATTCGTTCATTATCGTTTTATTATTTTTATAATTAGATTGAAATTATTCAAAATATCCTGTTAAAGTTATTATAACTCTGTGTTACATTATAAATTTTGTATTTTTTTCTTTTTATATTTAAATTAGCGACAGTGACACTGACATGCGAAAATTGCGCCCTTCGTTCATATTAATGGATTGATTCGAAAACGTGTCGCAGTCAAAGGGTTAATTGTTTTTTTTTTATTTATAAATAATAATGTTACGTGTATATAGTATGTTATATACCGTTTAATTAATTAAATCGGAGAAAAAGAGTTGAGAAAGAACGAGCACGAATCTTCTAACGCCACATATGTGCCACGTTTGTTCGAATTTTCTTGTTGTTTTTAATTGAAATAAATCCGATGCATTCTCGTCTAATGCAACAAATTTAAAATGACTAAATTTGGTAGAGAGAAGGCTTTTTTTGAATTTGAATTTTCAAAAGTGTGGCATCAAGTTTGTTCTCTTATTAATCTTTATTTATTTATTTATTTATTTATTAATAATTCGGCTATCTTTCATCAAATATGAATAAACTTGTTGCGCCTACGATCAAAGCCAAGATTCTCCGAGTTTTGTTGTTGTTGTTTTATTTTGTTAGTACCACCGATACATAAATATATATCTTTGTTACGTTAGAAACAACAAATTTTTGTTTTAAAGATATTTTTTTGTTCTTGTTGTTGTTGTAATTATTGTAAAAAGAAATATAAAGCGTAAAATTTATTATAACGAGTTATAATTGTATATTTTTATAATACGAATGCACGCGCGCATATTATGAAAATTATCGAGCGTAGTATTGTTTAAATTTATTTGTTTTGTTTTGTCTTTTTTCTGTCTTTTTTCCCCATAAAAAAAAATCGAATTCGTACAAATGTGTTTTTAAAATGTTAATTAATTAGATTAAATGTTATATCTCACTCGCTCGCATTGTGTACGGCTAAGAACAAACAAAGATATGAAAACAAATAAAATAAAATTAAAATAAAATTAAAATAAAATTAAAATAAAATTAAAATAGAATAGAGAGAAAAAGAAAAAAAAATATATATAAAAATTAAAAAGATCGTCGGTTTGTCACACAATGCCATTTGTTTTTTTTTTTGTAATTTGGCAATTGATATAATTCGACTTTTTGTTAATTTTTTTTTTTTTTCAGCAGCTAACGATTACGAAAATATTACTTATGAAACTCAAGACTAGCATTGATCAATGGCCTTTTATTTAGGCCCGGGATTTTTTGCTCTTTAGCTTAAACCATCCCGCGCTCTTGTTTGGATCACGTGGTACGGATGTTGACCTACTGAGCTCTGGCTTTGAGCTCACGCTCCGAGATTTCGTCGATAACGATTCCGTGGAAACGGTCCTGTCCACTTTCTGCTTGTCCTTTGATTTCAACGTACTGCGATTGATCGTACCTAAAGATTGTATCAAAATTCAATTAGGTTTGTTTTTTTTTTTTTTTTTCAACGAATAACAAATTATATTATTAGATGGTTCGAAAAGTCGTTGAGTATTTTGCTGATTGCAATAAATGGCATTAGTTGATGTAAACCGACAAATAGTAACACATGAGATCGATCGATCGAGAGGTTCAATTAATCAAATTCAATTATTTATGACCATTTGAAAGGTTTAGATTTAATTTTTGCTAATTATCCTTCTTGAAGTAACACGCTTACCACACCCAGGTCCAAAGGACCCTGGCTAGAAAAATTGTTATAAAAAACAAACTATTGCATAGATTTACTTCAACATTTTTTTAGAAACTTCTTGAATACTTACTTAAAAAGACTATATAAGTTTTATAACTTTAAATTAAATTTAAATATATTGAAAAAATGACCAAAGTTGAGTACAATTGAGAAAAATGATTGAAGTTGCAAATGAAAGGTCGTCTGGGTCCTTTGGGACTAAGTGTGCAAATAAGCAAAGGTTAACCACGAATCAAAAATTATCTTGATTTTTACAAAAAAAAAGAAAAAAAACAACGAAAACGACTTTACGAATCACCCAATAGAATTATTTTTCAATGAAATATTTACCGGTTTTCGAAAGATTATCTTTGCTACGTCGGGCATCTTTGCCCCTACGTGTTAGCGTTTCGCGACTTCTTTGTCTACGTCTTAAAGTCATCATTGGTTTTTGATGCTGTTGTTGATCATAATTGATTTCGAAAGGTTCCCTATAGTGTCTTGGTTTCCATGGAGCTAAAACGCTCACGCTCCTAGACACGGTTCTCGTGTGCGATTGCAGAGGTCGATTGAGTTCCTCTCGACTTGCTGCTCTACGTCGTTCGTTCGGTCCAGGTATTTCGCCGACTACAACAATTCGTGAACTTTGTATTATACACGTTGAAAGTTTAATCGTTATAAATAGAACACTCGAGTAGAGTTAATGTTATTCACGTAACTTATTGATAACTGACAGGTTGATCTTATTAACTTCAATTCTTAAAGAAAGAATATATAGAGTCACGTTGCAAGCGATTTTAGTTTTAAAACATTTCTACACGAAGGAAGTTTTTATTTTAATATAATATAATTAATAATTTAATTTAATTTATTTTAATATATTTTAGTATATTTTATTATATTTTTTATATATAATTTTTATAGATTTTATATAATATAATTTTTTATATATTTTATTTTATGTATATTTTATTATATATTTTAGTATATTAATTACATATATATGTAATTTATTTTAATATATATATTTAAAATTAATATAATATTTATATAATATTATATATATTATAATTATAATAAAATAAAATATATAAATTATATAATAATATATATATATATAGGATGAAATAAATATTAAATAAATATAATAGGTTATTAAAATATTGAATTATAGGAAAGTTATTTTTAAAATGTGAAAAGTTTTCGAATTTGTATATTACTTACTCGTAGTCGCGTGTAAATACACGACGGATCTTTGCGATCTTTGGGAATTTTGGCTCTGTTGACTGCTGTCACCTGTAGTACTCTCACCGGAAGAAAGTGCACTCTCTGCGAGTCTTGGTGGTTTCCTTGGTGGTGATACTATGCCAAGATTATGGCTCCTGTTCGAGTTGCTAACGTCACGTTTTATACAACCACGTTCATCGACACGTTTGTTTCTATAAAATTCATGTTTTTTGTTTTTGTTTTTGTTTTTTTTTATTAATACAAAATAATTTCTATACAAATATAAAATAAGAATTTATTTTATAATTATCCAATGAATTTCTTTTTCTATTTTTTTTTCTTTTTCTTTTTTTTTTTGCTGCGTATAAGAATGTTAAATAGAAATATTTGTTGTTGTTTTTTTTGTCGATAAAAGTGATAACTCATGTTAATCATGTGTTTGATTAATATTTACCTGTGATCACGGTTCGATGAAACCGATTCCTGATCGGTGTCGCCGAAGAAACGAAGATTCTTTTGAACGGAAACTCGTTCCGGTGCGGACGATGCCTCCTCGTCTTCCGTTCCGGTCGTCAATATCTCACTTTCTGGTATTCTTGGTTTCTTATCCACACTCTGAATAGTATACACATATGTTTATTTATTATTATTATTATAGATTAACTAATTTCAAATATCTATCGATTGTTATAAAAACATAATAAAAGCTTGATGAAAGAAAAATTCTCTTCCATTATAATCCTCGGAGTAATCATATTTTCTTTAATTATAAAAAAAAAAAAAATATAAATGAAAGAAGAAGAGAAGAAGAGAAAAAAGAATAGAATTTGTCTTTTATAATCTAGAAAAAGGTAATTTACTTTATACGCTTTTTCATTTTCTCGATCGTTGTTAAATATAAACAAAAAACAAAGGGGAAAAACATTGTTTCTTTTAACGC